AAATTATCATGTGAACAATAATCACACTGAGGCTGTGATGATGATATCTACCAAAGTTATTGACAATAACTAATCAATGATGCATTAAATTAATATGATCATTTTTATGAGATTCATAAAAAATGAATCTACGTTGCTGTAGTTTCAATTCATCTCTCTGCATATAACTGAGATAAATGTCATAGGTGTGTAGGCATGCATGTGTATGAGTTACACACTTATAGCACTGCTGTGCATATTGAACTTCCCAACCTTAGTATAATCAAAACAATGAGCAGATCATCCAACCCTAAATCAGACCAAGAGGTAGGAAGTGACCACGCTAACTTCCATCTGTAGCCACACATGAATCAGTGATATCTGGTATGTAGCATTTTCAGGTAAGAATAAGTGGTCTATTATCACAGTCACACATTGGCTATATAAAGGATTTTTAAGCTTGTGAAAGTAACTATGAGAGGCCCAGACAGGAATTTGGTACCAGTCCAAATAACAGATGTCAGCAGTTAAATCAGTGAAAACATATTTGTCCCCTTTTCAATTTCTGTTTTTTTTACTTGTATATTTCTCATGCTTCAGATCATCAAACAAATTTTACTTTTTAGAGAGATAACCAGATTAAATACATAACAAAACTACTAGTTTTTAAATGATTAAATTCTGATGAATTTCTCTGAGAACTGGGATGATGCGAGTAACCTAAAGTTTTCATTCCTAGCATTTCTTTTGATGTCTCACTATGAGAAATTGAGACTCTATAACCCATATACAGGTTCAGATTTGCTCTGAAGTGAGAAAAGGTGTTTTAATTATGTCTGTGTAGTAGCACAAGTGACTTAAGGGTGCGATGTTATGTCCGACGTGGTCACTGCAATCACTAGCCAATCAGGACTGGCAGAATGAGGAACTATACGAGGCACATCCTATAGTGAGACATCGAAATTACAGTATTAAAGTTTGACTGTATTGAAGCAGTATTAAATCACTGCTTTGACAGTGCATTAATGATCACAAAACATCTAAAGAATGGCAGGCCTCACTTGTCTCAGATAAGGTCAGTGTTCATGATTCAATAAGAATAGGAACTGGGCAAAAATGTCATCCATGGAAGAGTTTGAGGTTACAAAAAACTCCTGACTCCTTTGCAGGCGGTAGTGACGTCCCTTTTTCGGCTTCATCAGATTAG